CGTGTGGTCATCATCATGTTATGGGTAGCAGGCAGTACAATATTTAAAAACTTTGTAATTCTCAAGATATTTTTCCGCACTGACTATTTCAAATACTTGTTTACTTTCTTCTTCATATTCAGAATAATTATATGAAAAGAAATCGTAATTTGCTGTTCAAGTTAAAAAAAAAAATTCTAATACTGTTTTACTTCCGGCCAAGAACGCCTCTATTCACGAACAAATCGACTCACAAACACAATTTCTGAATACACTAGGACTCGATACGCAACAACGCTTCAGTCCACGAAGGCACAAACACGGCTTTGGCGCTATGTTTTCGCTGACGAACAACATCAGTTTGCTAGTTGTTAACCTTGTTTATCGTTGCCTTGTTTTTGATACACTTTGCTTCCTTTTTCGCCTTAAATTAACTATAGCTCCCAAGACAGTGATGGTGACAGTGATGTAAAGCAGCGCACTACAAACAGAACATGCTTTCTTCCTTCTGCTGCTTCTTCTGCTTCTTCTGCTTCTTCTGCTTCTTCTGCTTCTTCTTCTTCTTCTTCTTCTTCTTCTTCTTCTTCTGCTGCTTCTTCTTCTTCTTCTTCTTCTTCTGCTTCTTCTCTTCTTCTTTCTCTTCTTCTGCTTCTTCTGCTTCTTCTTCTGCTTCTTCTTCTTCTTCTTCTTCTTCTTCTTCTTCTTCTTCTTCTTCTTCTTCTGCTTCTTCTGCTGCTGCTTCTTCTGCTGCTTCTTCTGCTTCTTCTTCTTCTTCTTCTTCTGCTTCTGCTGCTTCTGCTGCTTCTGCTTCTTCTGCTTCTGCTGCTTCTGCTGCTTCTGCTTCTTCTGCTTCTTCTGCTTCTTCTGCTTCTTCTGCTTCTGCTTCTTCTGCTGCTTCTGCTTCTGCTTCTTCTGCTGCTTCTGCTGCTTCTGCTGCTTCTGCTTCTTCTGCTTCTTCTGCTGCTTCTGCTTCTTCTGCTTCTTCTCTTCTCTTCTGCTGCTTCTGCTTCTTCTTCTTCTGCTTCTCTTCTTCTGCTTCTTCTGCTTCTGCTGCTCTGCTTCTTCTTCTTCTGCTTCTTCTGCTTTCTTCTGCTTCTTCTTCTCTCTTCTGCTTCTTCTGCTTCTTCTTCTTCTTCTTCTTCTCTTCTGCTTCTTCTGCTGCTTCTGCTTCTTCTGCTTCTTCTGCTTCTTCTTCTTCTTCTTCTGCTGCTTCTGCTTCTGCTTCTTCTCTGCTTCTGCTGCTTCTCTTCTGCTTCTTCTGCTTCTTCTTCTTCTTCTTCTTCTGCTTCTTCTGCTTCTTCTGCTTCTGCTTCTCTTCTGCTTCTTCTTCTTCTTGCTTCTTCTCTTCTTCTGCTTCTCTGCTTCTTCTGCTTCTGCTGCTTCTGCTTCTCTCTGCTTCTGCTTCTTCTTCTGCTTCTTCTCTTCTTCTGCTTCTTCTTCTTCTGCTTTCTTCTGCTTCTTCTGCTTCTTCTTCTGCTTCTTCTGCTTCTTCTTCTTCTTCTTGCTTCTCTTCTGCTTCTGCTTCTTCTTCTTCTCTTCTTGCTTCTGCTTCTTCTTCTGCTGCTGCTTCTGCTTCTGCTTCTTCTGCTTCTTCTCTTCTTCTGCTCTCTTCTGCTGCTTCTGCTTCTTCTGCTTCTTCTTCTTCTTCTGCTTCTGCTTCTGCTTCTTCTGCTTCTCTGCTTCTGCTGCTTCTGCTGCTTCTTCTTCTTCTTCTGCTGCTCTCTGCTTTCTGCTTCTGCTGCTCTGCTTCTGCTTCTTCTGCTTCTCTGCTTCTTCTGCTTCTTCTGCTTCTGCTGCTTCTGCTTCTTCTGCTTCTGCTTCTTCTGCTGCTTCTTCTTCTTCTGCTGCTTCTGCTTCTTCTTCTGCTGCTTCTGCTGCTTCTGCTTCTCTGCTTCTTCTTCTTCTGCTTCTTCTTCTTCTTCTGCTCTTCTGCTGCTTCTGCTGCTTCTGCTGCTTCTGCTGCTTCTGCTGCTTCTGCTTCTTCTGCTTCTGCTGCTTCTGCTTCTTCTGCTGCTTCTGCTTCTTCTGCTGCTTCTGCTTCTGCTTCTTCTGCTTCTTCTGCTTCTTCTGCTGCTTTCTTCTTGCTTCTGCTTCTTCTGCTGCTTCTGCTCTCTGCTGCTTCTGCTGCTTCTGCTTCTTCTTCTTCTTCTCTTCTATCGTCTTCTTGGTCTGCCTCGTGGTATACGACCATTCATTTCCCTTGCGTATACAATTTTTTTAACCTCTTTGTCATCTGACATTCTCTCAGTATGTCCCAGCCATTCAACCTTTTAGCTTTCAATGCCAATTATCAGTGGTGATTTAAACAGATCAAGATTTTCATTATTGCTTCTCACTCTCTATTGCCCACGGTTTACATCTTCGAAAGATGCAAAGATTCGTCGTAAAAATCGGTTTTCGAAAACCTGTAATAAGCCTTCATCTCTTTTAGTTGTGCTTCAAGTTTCAGAGCCAAATAAAACGACTGGTCTTTTTAACATTTTATATATTTTAATCTCGGTATTAGAGACTTTAGCAGACGGTGAAAGGCATAGTATACTTTATTTCCAGATTGTATTCTAACTTGTAATTCTTCTCTCAGTTGGAGCAGTTGAAGTTTGCACACAAGTACTTATATGCTTCCGTTCGTTTGATTTTCATATTATCGACTTGTGTGTGGCCGGAGTTTACATCCTTACCCTGTCTAGTTATTATTATGTATTCTGTCTTATCTTGATTGATATTCCATTTTGTGAGCTGCTTCTTTTAAGAGAGTCAATATTTTTACAGTCTCTAGTTAATTTTTTTCAACAATATCAATGTCATCTGCACAACCAAGAATTCTTGTAGATTCTCCTATAGTACACTTTTGTTTTAATTTCCTTATAATTTTCTCCAGGGCCAAGATGAACAGAAGTGGGGAGATAGAATCACATTGCTTTAAACCAGATGTTATTTGAAAAGGGTATGACTTTCTGCCTTTATATATTACTATATTATAAGTGTCTTCCATACACAGTTTGATCATGTGATTAACTTCTTTGGTATTCTTTAGTCATTCATAGCATTCCATAAAATGTTTCTATATAAACTATTATCTCTTCCCTATTCCCAATTTTGTTCTGCTTTTTGCAGTAAAATGAATATCTGATCCATTGTTGATCTATTCTGTCGGAAACCCGTTTGTTAATATCCTAATATGTCTTAAACGTATTGTTTTAGCCTTTGTAGCAGTACCGCCTATAGTATCTTATAGCTTGTAGATAATAGTGACACGCCTCAATAGTTTTCACATTTATACTTGTCTCCTTTCTTAAAAATGGGTATTAATACTAACATTTTGCACATATATGGGGTAGTTTCCCCGTCTTCAAAACTAGTTTTATTAATTCATATTTACTGAATTGCTTAACTTTATTATGGCATGGGACTCTCCGTCGAATGTGTCGTCTTCTCCTGCCCCCTCTACCATTGACCAAAGGGCCACCAACTACCAACAATCAAGATAACCTGATATTACCTGTTTTGTATTATAGATTCTTGCCACGCATAAATTCGTTGACAAAAAAAAAAAAAAAAAAAAAATACAAGAATACGTTTCTATGGCGAGAGAACGTTTTAATTGGATGGATGTTCATTAATTTCAAGGGAAAACATTGTTTCAGCTTGCGAACATTTCGGTTACATAGAGAGACAAAGTGCACATTTACGTTCTTGATCCGAGGTACTAATCTACACTCAATGTTGACTATTCTTTGTTGATTACATTTGGTTTTCGAAGAGATAGCATCAACAAAACTTCACTGTAGCTTCAGATATTTGCTGCTCTTTTAGGGAGAATTTCACACCCGCACAAAAGCCCCATAAATGTGGATATGAAGGTGTGGATTTTTTAATCATATCTTGTTATCCCCTTGTGGGAAGCAACTTTTCGTTATTTGAAGCCCCTCCTCTGGCTCTTGCCAGGGGCCGCAATATAGACCGGCTATAAATATGGTCTAATGGCTTAACGCGGTTTCTGGGACCACTTCACGGTGATCCTCATCCGCATGGTGGCACTTTGTGTCATCGGGTGTTTATCGCTTGTGTGATGTCCTGGTGTGGTGAAGGTAGATAGGTACATAGTCTGCATTCATGATTGAAGTCTGCGCTCTTGAGGTGGGTGTCGTGGGAAGGTATTAGTGAGTGTATGTATGTATTTCAGTTGTAACCCACCATTACATCACACAAGAGATAAACAGCCAGTGACACAAAGTGCCACCATGTGGATGAGGATCACCCGGAGAGAGTGTCCCGGAGACCCCTTTCAGCCGCTAGGCCATATTTATGGCCCAGCTATATTCAGGACCCCTGCAAAACACTGACTGACTCACTGACTTTCTACCCCACCAGGACATCACACAAGCGATAAACACCCGATGACACAAAGTGCCACCATGTGGATGAGGAACGCCAGAAAACCGCGTTCAGACAATTGGCCATATTTAAGGCCTGTTTATATCGCGGCTCCTGGCAAATGCCAGGGTGGGGCTTCAAATAACAAAACATTTCGTCCTTAAAAGGACAAAACTGGATGTTAGGGGTGATTACCTGCAAAACACTGGGCGGGCCTTCAAATGAGGATGACTGCTATTAGTGAGTGAGAGTTTTACATTTCTTAACTACCGGAGCAGACATTAAATAAATACATAAACCATTTTATAAATAATTGCTCAGATTTTTGTGTCATTGCTTGTCAGCTCACCAATGTGAATATCTATAAACACAAATATATGAACAACACAAGAAGACCTTTCAGTAACATTAATAATAATGATACTAATCTCTAAGTTCATCTAGGCATACGGACCAAATCAGAAAGTAATTACATCTCTAGTGTACAGTCGTCCAATAATAAGGGAAGTAATAAAGTGGATCATTTAATCAGCGGAAAATCGCATATATAAAAGCAGGGAGAGAACAGCTTGTCAGGTTTTGTATCGTGGCTTGAGTTTTTGTAAGGGATTGTGTCTGTACTGAGGGACAATAAAGCTTCTGTTATCATGAGGGTAAGTACTTCCTTCTATTAGTTCCCTTCTGTGTATAGTTTGTTTACCATATATTGAGTTTTCTCTATTTTTTTTTTTAAATGAAGAACATTTATGCAATAAATCCCTATCTTTGCCATCCCTCTTGTGGGATGCACTTTTTCGTTATAAAAAAGCCCTACGCTAGCTATTGCCACTAGTTGGATAAAATTTACATACCTACTTACAAAAAAATCCCTAGCTATAAAATTCTTCCCCATGTGTGATGCAATTTTTCGTTATTTAAAGCCCCACATTGGCTTTTGCTGGGGGTCCTGAATATAGCTGGCCCTTAAATATTGCCTAACGGCTGAAAGGGGTTTCTGGGACCTCTGAACGGATGATCCTCATACGCATCGTGGCACTTTGTGTCACCGGGTGTTTATCGCTTGTGTAATGTCCTGGCGGGGTACAACTTACTTACCTACGAATAAATTCAAGCGATAGAGATATTAAAAATACGAATACAAAAGTCAAGAGGAGCTTTCATAGCACAATATAATATATGGAAGGTAAAAGAAATATTAACTTATTCAAAAGAAATATTAATTTATACTAAACTTATAATGTTTAATAGCTCCACATACAGTTCTACTTAGGATTGTCAGCTCCCTGTGTCGGTTCCGGTGAGTCATTGTGGGGATAACAAGATTAGACTTACAGCTTTCAGAACAAGCATGTCGTAGGAATCGACTAATTGGGAGGTTCCTTTGGAGTCAGAGTGAGTTTGCCCAAGCGGCAAGGATCCCAATTCCAATTCCAATTCGTCCAACAAAAATTCCAAATTTGATCCTCTTTCAGCCGCCCCGAGGCCTGCTATATCGAAGAAGGTTCCTTAGCTGTCTTATATGGTTTCCTTTTATTTGTGGTGTGTAGTCACACCTGATATTACGGTTGTTTGCTTCCTTGCTGTGCTGCTTGTGGTCTTTTGGTCTGGTGTGGTCCAGGTCTCTTTGTGATGGTATCGACGGGTACTAGCTGACTGTTGCTGGTGCTTGGCTTGCCTCGTGTTGGTCGCTGTGCTGGTGCCCTGTTTCTGCTTGGTTGCCGATCTGTGAGCCGCCGGAAAAAGCCAAACAAACATCGGTTCACGTCGTCATAAACAATGTTCCTTTTCAGGACAACCAGGGCCGTCACAATCTGTTGTTGTGATCGGCCCGTTTTTTTTTTTCCACGGAGTGTGGAGAAGTAGTGGAGGTAAGATAGACTGTAAATGAGAGATCAGATTTGCTCGAATGTGCCAGTAGATGTGATAGTTAGGTCGGGAGAATGAGAGTGACAGATAGATAGAAAGGTGTTGCTTCTCGACGTTGGAACTTCTGGTGGATGGAGATCCAGTGGCCTGAAATAAAACTGAAGGCATTGTTAACGTTCATGTGGTTTGGGGGTGGGGTGGCGTTAGAGAGTCTGGAATTTCCGAGTGCTGGTCCCCTTTGGTGCAATGTCTTCAGCAGTATGCTTCAGAACGTCGGGTGGCCTTTGGTGGTTTCCGTTGTCAACTTCTGCAAGGAACAACCAACTGCATATTTAAACAAATCCATTAAAACTGATGTACATTCAAAATTCAGGCCCTGGTACAAAGCCATAGTTCATATAGATCAACAACCAAGACTTTCCGTCGGAGCTTTCAGATACTGAACAAAGAAAAGGAAGAAGAAGAAGGAGAAGGAAAAGAAGAAGACGGACGGAGGGATTTCGTTCTTATCTTTTTTGGGTGTTCCTATATATTAAAGGTCGGCTCTGTGGCTAAGTCGATGTGAACGCTTCCTAATTTCGGAATGCTGGGTTCGATCCCAACTGCGTACCATGCGTCATGCGTTGGTTTCGTCAGTGGTATCAAGAAAGCCGACCGTCCAGTAGGCAATGGCAATCTACTGGACGTAAATTTGCCTAGAAAAACCACACAACAGCCAGGGGCTGTTGGGGTTGGTTCTGCAACGTCCTGTAAAGGATATGCAACTACCCATATATTAAAGAAACAGGCAAGTACTGATCGGCACTCATAAAAAGAAGTAGAGAGATAGAAGGACACACACAAAAAATTTCGAAAGTCATTGTTACCATACTGAGAATCGAACCCGTCACCTCCAAATAACAACACGTCTAGTTGCAAAATCGAGTGTACTAAGACGCATGGCTAATTAGGCATCCATAATAAATGTCGTCACTAGCCATGTTTATCGTACCTCTTGAATCCACAGTAATGGACTGCAGACAGAATTCGTCTCAAACACTTGCCAGGTTTTCGAGTTTTCCTATTATATATATTTCATACGGGAGTCGCCTTAGCATAGGGCCTAAACGCTAGCGTGCGGGTTGGAAGGTCGTGGGTTCGCTCCCTGGCGGAGCCAGACTTTTAAAAAAAAACTGACTGATTCCCGGGTCCACTAAGCCTTGAGTGGGTACTGGGTGCAGTCCCAGGAAGTAAATGTGAGCACATCATCCATCTTGTGCCGATTGGTCTATAAAAATATAGTTCTAGCCCTGTAAGCCTTATACGCCCAAAGGCATAGAAGAGGGACCTATACTATATATATATGTATATATATATATATATATATATATATATATATATATATATATATATATATATATATATATATATATATATATATATATATATATATATATATTTCATATAATATTGCACACAAATTATAGAAGTGGAAACATAAATGAGTGAAATAATGTAATTATACTTTCAGCTGTCAGCATTTATCCTCGTAATGTTTCTGTATTGTGTGAGCTCAAAGAAATCTCGCGCGAATGCCAAGGCGAACGTCCAGGCGAACGTCAAGGCGAATACCCAGGCGAACGTCAAGGCGAATACCCAGGCGAACGTCAAGGCGAATACCCAGGCGAACGTCAAGGCGAATACCCAGGTCTCCAATCCGGAAATTGAGCAGCTGAGGAAACTTGTGGCAAGCCTCAGCAAACAGGTCATGATGCAACAACTTCACGTGGAGGAGAAGTCAGTCTTGGTTGATTGTTCCATCAATTGAATGATTGATTGTATGACTGCTTGTTGTTGTAGAACCATCTTGACTTGTGCTGTCCACCCTTACAGATGTAATGAACTTGTAATAATTAAGTATAACTTCTGGGATAAGGACAACATGTGAAATAAGATGTACAGAAAATGTAGATGTGTGCGTGTGTGTGTATGGTGTTTCTGTGTGTGTGTGGTGTATATGTGTGTATGGTGTGTGTGTGTGGTGTGTGTGGCGTGTGGTGTGTGTGGTGTGTGTATAGTGTGTGTGTGTGTGTGTGGTGTGTGTGGTTTGTGTGTGTGGTGTGTGTATAGTGTGTGTGGTGTGTGTGTGGTGTGGGTATGGTGTGTGTGTGGTGTGTGTGAGGTGTGTGTATAGTGTGTGTGTGTGGTGTGTGTATGGTGTGTGTGTGTGGTGTGTGTGTTTGTGTTGTCTGTGTGGTGTGTATGTGTGTGTGTGGTGTATGTGATGTGTGTGTGGTGTGTGTGTGGTGTATGTGGTGTGTGTGTGGTGTGTGTGTTGTCTGTGTGGTGTGTATGTGTGTGTGTGTGGTGTATGTGATGTGTGTGTGGTGTTTGTGTGGTGTATGTGGTGTGTGTGTGTGTGTGGTGTATGTGGTGTGTGTGTGTGGTGTGTGTGTATGGTTAGTGTGTGTGGTGTGTGTGTATGGTTAGTGTGTGTGTGGTGTGTGTGGTGTGTGTGGTGTGTGTGTGGTGTGTGTGTGGTGTGTGTGTGGTGTGTGTGGTATGTGTGGTGTGTGTAGTGTGTGTGTGTGGTATGTGGTGTGTGTGTGTAGTGTGTGTGTGGTGTGTGTGTGTGGTGTATGTGTTGTGTGTGTGGTGTATGTGTGGTGTGTGTGGTGTATGTGTGGTGTGTGTGGTGTATGTGTGGTGTGTGTGGTGTATGTGTTGTGTGTGTGGTGTGTGTGGTGTGTGTGTGGTGTGTGTGTGGTGTGTAGTGTGTGTGGTTAGTGTGTGTGTTGTGTGTGTGTGTTGTGTGTGTGTTGTGTGTGTGGTGTGTGTGTGGTGTATGTGTGGTGTGTGTGGTGTGTGTGTGGTGTGTGTGTGGTGTATGTGTGGTGTGTGTGTGTGTGTGTAGTGTATGTGTGGTGTGTGTGGTGTGTGTGTGTGTGGTGTATGTGTGGTGTGTGTGGTGTGTGTGTGTGTGTGTAGTGTATGTGTGGTGTATGTGTGGTGTGTGGTGTGTGTGTGTGTGGTGTGTGTGGTGTGTGTGTGGTGTATGTGGTGTGGGTGTAGTGTGTGTGTGGTGTATGTGTGGTGTATGTGGTGTGTGTGGTGTGTGTGTGGTGTGTGTGTGGTGTGTGTGGTGTGTGTGTGGTGTGGGTGGTGTGGGTGTAGTGTGTGTGTGTGGTGTGGGTGTAGTGTGTGTGTGGTGTGGGTGTAGTGTGTGTGTGTGGTGTGGGTGTAGTGTGTGTGTGTGGTGTGGGTGTAGTGTGTGTGTGTGGTGTGGGTGTAGTGTGTGTGTGTGTTGTGTGGGTGTAGTGTGTGTGTGTGGTGTGGGTGTAGTGTGTGTGTGTGGTGTGTGTGTGGTGTGTGTGTTGTGTGTGTGGTGTGGGTGTAGTGTGTGTGTGTGGTGTGTGTGTGGTGTGTGTGTGGTGTGGGTGTAGTGTGTGTGTGTGGTGTATGTGGTGTGGGTGTAGTGTGTGTGTATGGTTAGTGTGTGTGGTGTATGTGTGTGTGTGTGTGGTGTGTGTGTATGGTTAGTGTGTGTGGTGTGTGTGTGTTGTGTGTGGTGTGTGTTTGTGTATGGTGTATGTGTGGTGTGTGTGTGTGGTGTGTGTGTGTGGTGTGTGTTTGTGTGTGGTGAGTGTGTGGTGTGTGTGTATTTGGTCGGGAGGGGTGCAATAAGAGACAGTCACCAATAAAGAACTACGGACAATGATAGGCACAGTACCGGTAAATGATTTGATAGAACATAACAAATTACATGGTTTGGTCATCTGATAACAATAGAAGCCAGGAGCTACAGCGTACAACATGAGAACAGCAGGCTTAAGTCAAGAGGCCGACCAAGAAAGAGATAGTTGAAGGGAGTAAAAGAGACACTACAGTAACGCAATATGACATTAACACAAGTGACACAACTAGTGAAAGATAGGAAACTATATCTAACTCATCTCTGGGACGCCTTACACACTAAACAAGTTAAGGCAAAATCGGGAAGGAAAAAACTAACAGAATAATTTCTCCACATCTGTGCAATTTATAGAGAGGGAGAATAGTGTCCATGTGAAGGTTCTTGTGAAAAAAAAAAAATTGATAGACCCACTTCTTCTTAAGAAAGCATGCTGTAAGAGCGCTGACATTAAAGGTGTTTGGCCAAAAGGCGCAAATATGACAGCCTATCTGTAAACCCTAATACAAATGACTGACTAACGTTCAATCCCACCAGGATAAACACCCACTGACATAAAGTGCCACCATTCGGACAGGACATCACACCGAACGATAAACACCCGCTGACATAAAGTGCCACCATTCGGACAGGACATCACACCGAACGATAAACACCCGCTGACATAAAGTGCCACCATTCGGACAGGACATCACACCGAACGAGAAACACCTGCTGACATAAAGTGCCACTATTCGGATCAGGGTCAACGCAGAAAATATAATGAGAAATGTCAAACATGAGCAGACTTGTGACAATTATGATCCGATCAAAATTGGTGGCAACCCTATTCCGGAACTTCGCTACACTGATGACAAAGTCCTCCTTTAGAACAGCGTGGAGGGAAAAGAAAATTTAATATTGTTTGTCCAAAAGCACAGTGAAGATAAAAATCTGTTCTCGTATTTAAATGAAACCAAAATAATGTCCACAGATAAAACTGGCTGTCACCCAAAAATAACAATAAATGATGAAGAAATTGAAAATGTCACAAACTTTGAATATCTAGGCTCTATAATAAACAGCAATGGAGACTGTTTGACAGAAATTAAAAGGAGGATGGCCATAGCAATGCAAAGATTAAAAAGCCTTAAAAGTCTACGGTTAAGCACCAGTAAGGAGATCAAAATTAGAATTTTGAGAGCATGTATCTACGGATGTGAGTCATGGACTATCTCTCAGTCCTTAAGAAAGAGAATAGGGGCTTTTGAGCTGAAATGTTATAGAAAGATTCTCAGAATATCTTGGACAAAGAAGAGTAGAAATACTGACATCTTGATAGATCTGATTAAGGAAAATTGGCTAATAAACGGCATCCTGTCTCGGAAGCTGAAATATTTTGGACATACCAAGCGCCACGACGGATTGGAAAAAATTATAGCAGAAGGCATGGTACCAGGAAGGAGGGGCAGGGGCCGATCGACACGAAGATGGGCACAGAATATAAGTGACTCCTTGAGTAGGAAAGTACATGAGGCGGGAGAGCTGGCGAGAGACCGAATTTCTTTTAGGCAGACTGTTATGAGAGCGACGTTCTGCAAAGGACCTGCTACATGATGATGATCATCGTTTAATTAATCGCATTAGGCAATTTCATCTGCCTATAAAATCGAAAAGGGGCCTTTGACTTTATTTGTGTTTTTACTCTGATGATTTCAGTAATTTTTGAGTTCTTTTTTTGTTTTCAAACTACAGGTCCCGATCTGAGGGCAACTCTGGGATAAAACTTGTTCGTGGCGTTGGGAAGGGGCAGAAGAACTATGACTCCAACAGTCATCTGTATCCATCTGCTTTTGCAATTCACGACCATTCAAACTATGATAGGACAATTGGTAAGAGCTTTTTTTTTTTAAAAATCAGACTATTGGTAAATTTGTGTGTGTGGACCGGACTTCTGGTAATAGATTTAAAAAAAAACAACAACAACCGAACTATTGGGAGTAGTAAAGTAAAGGGTTCCTTTGTCTGTAAGTCATTTAAACACTAAATAATTCATCATCATCATCATCATCATCATCATCATTATTATCCCGTTTAGCCTTTATAAATCACATTCAGTAACGTAAAAAAGACAATTGTCCACGCGTTTAATGCGTATTGGGCACATAGGGCTAGATCTATATTTAATAGATCTATCCCCTTTTATTTAAGATATCCTCATGGACAATTGTAAACGCTTTCAAACAATGTGTTTCTTTTGTGTACTTGAACAGTGCAAACAATACAATGCACAGTTTAATGCACGGTAGCGCGGTATCTCGTCAGGTACATTCACTACAGTGTACTAGTAAACATGTCGAAACAATTCATTGCGACCCCAGAGATATGGGTATGCTAAATACTGTTTGAAATTATGGGAGGTCCCGTGGTATAGCGGCTAGACGCTCGCCTGTGGATCCGAAGGTGGTGGGTTCAGGACACAATGGAGCCAGACTTTTTTCTTCTTCTAGAAATTACCTTAGCTGCCAGGTCGACCCAGACTGAAATGGGTACCACGAAAGTCATGGGAAGTGAAGGCGGCCTGTGTGATGCTGACCACATCATCCACCAAGTGACGATTAGTCTATACAAATATAGGTCTAGCCCTATATACTTAGTACGCTCGAAAGGGCGAGAAAGGGTCCTTTATTTAAAATTATGCACACATTTTTGTGCCAGGACACTCTGTTGTAACAGGGAATGTGTGAGCGGATCGGCTTGTTTTTATGTAGATTTTTTGTTGTTGTTTGTTTTGTTAGATGTACTTTATGTTTGTATTCAAATATGGTCATCAAGTGTTATTATATTTACAGTGTAAATACTTTTTAAAATGTGAATTTATTGTACCCTAGACTTTAATAATTTAGTTCCTATTAGTGGCGCGGTGATTTATGTCACAGGCGTGAGGGAAAGTTAAGTCCAACATGATGTGTATAAGGAGATACTCCGTACGTCACTCGGGCGCCAGTCCTTCTCTGTTCTGGTTTTACGGAACCTCACGCAAGACCCCTGCAGCACGTCCTCGTCGTGCGCCACGGATAATGTCTCAAATGAGCATTAACAGAGCTGTCAGGGGATCTCGGATTTTGGCGGCCCCCAGAGGTGAATGTGTCCTTGTAGCTCTCATCAGCCCGCCCCCAAACGCATGGGTGAAAAAGGTTATCAAAACTCATTAGGAACATGAGTAAAGTGCTGCCAAGCGTGCAACTAAAATTACAACCCTTGGTTAAAAGATTGCGGAGTGAAGAGAACATTGTTCTGCTGAGACTCTACCCTTGACCTAGAGATTTACCCGCAGCACAGACGAGTAACATCTCCTGTGAGTGACGTCTCGCAGCAAGATTCTACCCATGTACATCCTCTGCTAACCCTCAGTGTCGTCGTCACCGCGTTGAGGTACACCACAATAGCAACAGCCTATTGGCTTGTTTAAGCCTAAATGTCCGACAAAACTAGATCCTACGGCACACGAGTAAGCTCAAAATCCGACCATCACAAATCGTATTGAATGGGGAAAAGTCCAAATGTCCACACCCAAAGACCCCACTCGCCCGAGTGCTGGGACCAAACAGATAACGATAAGCCTGACGAAGGATGTTAAATTCTGTCGTGCTAACGGCTCGTCAAAAGATATCTAACGTGCGAAAAAAAAAAGAATTTACCAATTCGTGTGGTCACAAAAGTCCAAAAACCGAGGGCTGCTCCCCGATGATTTCCGGAGGGCGCAGGCGGGAGGCCTAATACGGTTATGAGGTTAAGCAGGCATATGCAGGTTGTGACGATTCCTTGGGTGAGCCCAGAACCAGAGCGCCATGTGCCAGCTCTGCATACATGAAAGCCTCCTTGGAAGGTGGGGAATGCCCATGATCTGCCCCTGCCTTCCCTTGAGGGCTAACCGTTCCACAAGGGGCTGCCCCAAAGGTGTACTCCGATCGAAGAAGACGAAGAAGAAATTCCTATTATTTTCAATAGGAGAAATTGCCATAAAACTCGAACGATTTTGAAGTCGAACGCCGTCTTGGAACAGATTATGTTTAAATTTCAAGGTGACACTGGTGAGATACTGGGGCTTGGCGTTATGACCCAGCTTTGTCCACCTTTAGAGATTGTTTAGGATGGTAACAGGCCGAAACAATTGTCGACGAGGATCTTCTACTGATGACTAGAATACTCCCGCAGTGTACGCTCCCCTGTGAAGTTTTCTTATTGTATTTATATATTCTTTGTATACACATATGGGTATGTCAATGCCAATCAATGCTCGTTAAATAATTATCAACAGGTATTGGTGAGATTTGTGCTGTGTTAAATGGAGTGGACTTCCGGACACGTCACAACGACTACAAGTTGGTCATGCCCTCGCAAACGTCCAGTATATATCATGCCACCGAGGATATCCCATTTCCCGACGTGCCGCCCGAGGTTTTAAACAAAAAGACAGTCGAGGTAAGTGCTACAATACATATTCTCCTACCATCTTGCTCTCATCCAACACAAAGCCTCTAAAAGCGCCGCGTTTCTGCTGTTGTAGCCCGCGAAACATAACACAGATTTTTTTTAATGCCAAGGAAATCTGTCACACTGCAGCAAAGTAAAGTAAAGTGAATTAAACTGAAGCTGAGTAAAGTGAAGTAAACTAAAACATGATAAAGTAAAGATAAGGTAGAGTAAAGATAAAGTTAAAAAAAGATAAGGTAAAGGAATATAAAGTAAAGTAAAGATAAAATAAAGTACAAACAGTAAAGTAAAGATAATGTAAAGTAAAATACAGCAAAGTAAAGTGAAGTAAAATAATGTAAAGTAAAGATCAAGTAAAGTAAAGATAAAGTAAAGTAAAGTAAAGTAAGATAATATAAAGTAAAGTAAAGTAAAGCAGAGTAGAGAGAAAAAAAGTAAAGTAAGGTAAAGTAAAGCATATAGTGCTAGACTCAAATTTTTATATACCAGTCTGAACTAGATGGGTAATGTGGTCATCAACACACTGTCAGCCTTGACTTCCCATGAATTTACCTGGTACCAATTTTAGGCTGGGGTCCACCTGGGGGAGCCAATGTGGATTCGAACTAAAGAATTCAGACCGGCAGGCCAGCGTCTAGCCGGTACATCACCGCAGCTCTCAGGATGTTTCGTGCAAGACACATATTTTTAATGGACTAATCGACGCTCAATACGCCACGTGATATCAGACTGTCCGCCTTTACTTTCCGCAACATTTTCTTGGTTCTAGTTTTACGCTGGATCAACCTAAGAGTCAAAACTATTTTAAAATGCATCTTTTGCCTCGACTTACGACCTCTGCGACTGATGACCATTCACATTAACGACCATTTGAGAATAATAATTTTTAAAAAAAAGAGGAAAAAAAAAAGGAGGGGGAGGGGGAGAAGTTTAAAGAAGGATAATTACACTGGTCAGGGGAAAAAAGATTTTCAGGACTGCTGCGAAAGAATATACATTATATACAATAATTATCATCGTCATCATTATCAAGGGCCGTGCCAGCTAGCATAAGCTTTCCTGCATCTCTACAGATCTCGGTCTTTGGTGTTCTGTATCAATTCCACTGATGGTTTTCCTCCATGCCACTGTCTTAAGCCATCCACCATCATTTCTCTTGGTCTGCATCTGCCTCTTCTACCAGTGATATTTCCAGTCGTCACGATCTTTATCAGTGCTCCTTTTCTCATCAAAGGACCAAAGAACTTTGTCTCTTATTTATTATTGTAAAAAACGTTCTTCTTTCATTAACCGATTACAGGCAATCATTGTTAATTATTCTGGCAGTCCAAGATATTCGCAACATGTGTCTCAAGAACCACATCTTAGTTGGCTCCAAACTCTTCCTAATTTGTTTTCTCACATTCCAAGATTCCCTGCCATACAACAGAACAGTACTCGTTTTCTGATGTTTAATGAGAGTGATTGATTACATAACATACTTTTCATCTTCTGAAATGCTGCCTTTGCCTTGCCAATTATGCTTTTAATTTCAGTCACACATCGTCCATCTGATGTTATAAATGTCCTCAAATACTTGAATATATTGACTTAGTTAAGCACTTTCCCTTCTATTGCTATATGACATTTACAATAATTATAGTATATATATATATATATTTAATTGTTGTGTTTAATGAACAATTTTATAAGCCGTTTGATTGAAGTGTTCAAAAATATAAATTCACTTATGACCGGTGCGTCTTATACGACCCGTTAGTTAAAACTTAAGTAAGTCGTAAATAGAGAGAGAGAAAGAGAGAAAGAGAGAGAGAGAGAGAGAGAGAGAGAGAGAGAGAGAGAGAGAGAGAGAGAGAGAGATCCTGTATTCTCATCGAAACAGTTTTAAATTTAAAACTTTCAGACCAACAGTCAAGCATCATTTAGTTACTCATCTACTTCGGCTCCATGATCTATTGTGATTTTCGCAAATTTCCTTCTGTATTATGAGAGTTAATTTGCAGGAACAAGTTGCAGAGATGAAAGAATGGTTCAAAGCTTTCAACGACCAGGACAGAAGCAGTAGAGACTACACAAAATACTTTAAGCCAGTTCTGTGTTATCTTGAGGGGACGTGGACCCTGGACAAGGAGTTGGAAGAACCATTTCCCAGTGACAGGCATTATCTAGAAGCCAAGAGCTGGGATGAACTGCATGAAAAGGTAGGCAATATGCATATCCGATTCCTACGTTTATGACTTTATGTATTTCGGCATATTTAATTAATACAATTCAATGTCGGAGACTGAGCACGCATGGAAATGTCTAGTGTGCAGTGACATCGACTGTGATAACATAACAAATATGTCGGCAACTATGGTTTGTGCGGATGCTTAAAATAACATATCCGTAGGCAAGACTGAGATATCAGTCAGTTTAAAAATACTGCCTGTCTGATGGCGACTGTTGGTTTTGGTGCTCTAACAAGTGATATATGCATTACTGTATGCGTGTATTCTGGATTGCGCAGGAAAAAATTGTTTGTTGGTTAATTTGTTTTGAATGAGACAGGGAAGGGACATTTCGTTTGATTATCGCCGGCACAACAACGGAATAAGTATGGGAGTGACCTGACGGCAGTGAGGTTGACACTACGAATACGACTAACAGCTACGTCACTACTAACACGACTAACAGCTACGTCGGCGCACTTGTGTGGGAACATGAGCAACAATTATTTGTTACGATATTTAAATGAAAACACGAAAGGTTTCTAAGCCGACGCGACAAGGCCCGCCGAAACCCAAATATGATTATGACTCAGGGTTATTGTGCGAACGATGTCTGGTATGGTGAAATTAACATACACGATTAGCACATAATGAAGTGATCTATTGATAACCCGAGCCGAATAGGCGAGGTTTAAATGCAGTGAGGGCTAAACATTCACGATTTTGCTGTTAATGTAAGGTTATCCGCGTGTGAAAGCTATACCTTATGAAAATTGAGTCATAAAATACGCAGACTACATAGATAACATTAGCTGAGTCTTCAAGGGTTAAAGTGAGTGACAGTAATAACTCCGAGATGGTAGTTTTGATATCAGCAGCATAAATTTATGTCAAATAGGAAATGTATGCATTGTAATGCATTTGTAATTTTTCTTGGTGAAGCGATAATTTAACGCAATTTTGCAGTTGTAAAGGTTAACTGAATAAATAGTATAACAGACAATTCAGTCATCTCTCTGGGAAAATGTGTTAGATGTTAGTGTCGTGTCGACGCTTGTTAGCTGTGTGCTCTTTACAGGACGTTGCAAACTGAACTCATAATTTGTTGGTTTTTTTAAAGGTTTACTAAGCAGTGCTGGGTTCATTAGTTTGCCATTGCTTTCTGAATGGTTCGATGGTCATACTTTCTAACTCTGTTAGGCATATTGGGTATATGGGTTTAGGTCCACACATTTAGTCTAATTGATATTCGATGAGTGATGTGTTCCTAGCACTTCAAAGATCAAATGGTTTGTCATCTAATCTGAACGGAACAAAATCTACTGGGTTCAGTAATTTGCCATCGCTTTCTGAATTGTTCGATGGTCATACCTTCTAACTCTGTTAGGCATATTGGGTATATGGCTTTAGGTCCACACATTTAGTCTAATTGATATTCGATGAGTGATGTGGTCCTAGCACTTCAAAGATCAAATGGTTTGGTCATCTAGTCAAAACCAGTCAGCAACTAGAGCCTTCTACAGGAGAACAGCAGGCTACAAGACAAGGACGACCAGGAAATATATGGTGAAAGAAAAACAAGAGTCACTACAGAAACGTAATCTGATGTTAGCACAAGCTAGGTAACTGGCACAAAACAAGAAGCTACATTTAACTCATCGCTGCCATGCTTTATGGCATTAACATTCAAGGAAAAGGGAAGTTTTGGACCCAGAAGAGTAAGATGTTGTCAATATTCCACCCATTGTCCTAACTTCTTCATCTTAACGTTCACCGACTGTAAACTCTGGTCGGAATTGTTGGTTGTTTGTTCACATTTGAATTTTAGTCTTGTTTCAGAACCTGAGTTTTGGGTGCACATCCGTTTTACAGATCTGACTTATTTGTATGCAGACTGTTCGAAGCCTTACATTGGTCAACCCTTACAATATGTTTATCTATCTATCTTCTTTTACCCCACCAGGACATTACACAAGCGATAAACACCCGATGACACAAAATGCCACCATGTGGATGAGGATCACCCGTGGAGAGGTCTCAGAACCCGTGTTCAGCCATTAGGATATATTTATGCCGGGCTATACTGAGGCCCCTGGCAAGAGCCAGAGTAGGGCTTCAAAGAACGAAAAATTGCATCACCAATAGGGATGACAATTGAAATGATCAGATGATTTGCTTGTTGACTGACTGAATTTCTAGCCCACCAGGACATCACACAAGCGATAAACACCCGATAACACAATGTGCCACCATGTAGAGGAGGATCACCGTGGTGGGTGAGGTCCCAGAAACCGCGTTCAGCCATTAGGCCATATTTATGGCCTGGCTATATTGCGGCCCCTGGCAAGAGCCAGAATGGGGCTTCAAATAACGAAAAAGTGCACCCAGAAAGCGACGGGAAGTTAGGTATGCTTGTAGGGAAAACAGCGAGTATATTTTAGTTTTCCCCACAATGGGGCCCACAAACGGGGAATTTGAGGTTTTTAGAGGAGTTCACATAAATCCTTTTAATCTGGGTTGACGTGGGTGGTCCAGCTCTGTAGCACAAATAGTTGCCACCTACCCCATTAGATTCTACACATGAACATAGGGCTCTCCGTGTGGTTTCGAGGTTCCACTAAAAGGGGCGGTGCGGAGGGAGAGAATAGACCCACTGTCTTCCTAACAAACATGTCGTAAAAGACAACTTATAAGGGATTTTCCCACCGAAGTATTTTCACATCTGTCTGAAACTCGAGTAACGAACAGTCTGATTACTGATTTAAGAATCGACATCATAGCACACCGGGCATACACATAGATGCTCGGTCTCCGGCAGCAATTGTCTTAAGGTGTAGATGCTAACTGTTCCCCTAGCACACTGGTTACACACATGCGGTTCTCTTCCTCCCATACGCCCGTCCATGCAGGATAAACTCATAAGACCTCGTTCACATTCTACACATTGTTTCATCTAATCTCGTGTCATACAATGCTTTTTTTAAAACCTATCTCCCTTGTCCGGTACGAGTGTTACCGTAACTATCGCTTTTGCAGCCAGAAAATCTGCTCTTTCATTCCCTCCCACTCCTGCATGACCTGGATAGTATATCCAGGTGATTCTCTGCAATGTTGGCGTACTGATGTTTGGTATCCACTGATGCCACATTTGTCCATTTTTAACCATCCGCAGTTTCTCTGGTAACTTTATTTTCTGATATCCACCTCAGAGCTGCAGTGGTTGCCTCCAACTCCATTCTCATGCTTGAAGTTGTAGATACAAAAGCTTCATTTTGTTCTGCAACACAATGATTGTTCTAATTGGTGAAACTCATGTACAACCCAAAACGATTCTTATTTCTGAATCCGTTCAAGCTTTATACATTGTGAAGTAGAAAGGGTTAAAATTCATAGGTCGCAAGCAACCAAATGGTTGAACAATAAAACTAATAGTCTCTGTACCATGTGTGTCGCCACCATCGTCTTCAGTGCCGCCTGGCCACGCTTGCATTTGAGCAGTCTGCTCCACGTGATATTTGTAGGACAGACTGCTATCAAACATCAAACCTAAGTATTTTAACTTATCTCTTTTTCCAGCATTGATCCCATGCATGGACATAATGGGCGGCCTTCCTTTCCAGTGCTATTATTTAAGGAGCACCGCAAAACATTATCCTTCTCTGGATTCCTTCTCTGGGTTCACGGACAGTCTGCACGCACGTATGCCACGTCTGTAAAAACAATGTGCAGGCACAACTTTAATTCTTGAACTAGACCAAAATCCAGAAGTGGACAAACAACTAATAGTCTCTGACGGAATGTAAAGCCGTTGAACGATAAGAATATTAATTGGGATTCGGAGCTCCTCTTAAAAGATGTTGTGTTGTTTTTGTTGGGGAAAGAGGGGGGGGGGCGTGGGGTGTCTCAAAGTATGTTAGCCCACATGTTTAGCCCTCCCCCTCTCGCATCCATCGTTTTCCTGCAGATAAGTGGTCTCTCGGTAACAGATTGTATTTGTCTGCTCTTCCAGAATCGTTTCACAACATACACAGGCACGAAGGCCCGTCTGGAAAATGTTGCCTACTTGCCGACAACAATCATGTCTGTGAACATGACCACTGGTAGGTAACCGACAACAATCATGTCTGTGAACATGACCACTGGTAGGTAACCGACAACAATCATGTCTGTGAACATGACCACTGGTAGGTAACCGACAACAATCATGTGTGTGAACATGACCACTGGTAGGTAACCGACAACAATCATGTCTGTGAACATGACCACTGGTAGGTAACCGACAACAATCATGTGTGTGAACATGACCACGGGTAGGTAACCGACAACAATCATGTCTGTGAACATGACCACTGGTAGGTAACCGACAACAATCATGTGTGTGAACATGACCACGGGTTGGTAATAGAGAACAATCTTGTCTATGAACATAACCACGGGTAGGTAACCGACAATAATCACATGTGTGAACATGACCACATGTAGGTAACCGGCAAGAATCATGTTTGTTAACTTCACCATGGCAAGGTAACCGACGACATTATTATCTGTGAACATTACCACAGGTAAGAAACAGACAACAATCATGTCTGTGAACATGACCACAGGTAGCTATTCGACATCTATCATGTGTGAAAATGACCACGGGTAGGTAACCGACAATAATCATGTGTGAACATGACCATGGATAGGTAACCAACAACTATCATGTGTGAACATGACCAAGGATAGGTAACCAACAACTATCATGTGTGAATATGACCACGGATAGGCAATTGACAACTATCATGTGTGAACATGGCCACGGGTAAGTAACCGACAATAATCATATGTGAACATGACCACGCATGACCACGGATTGGTAACCGACAACAACCATGTGTGAACATGACCACAAGTAGGTAACCGAGAATAATCATGTGTGAACATGACCACGGATAGGTAGCCAACAACTATCATGTGTGAACATGACCACGGGTAGTAATTACCACATAGTTGGTACCTGGTTCATTACTTTGGAGTCTTTTAACAACATACGCGGCTGCGTCTGTTAACCCCCCCCCCCCCCCCCCCCCAAAAGAAATTGGCTAGGGTCTGTTAAAATACGAGCCCGGAGACTCTAAATACGAGGCTTAAGGGTGTTAACAAAATACAAGGCTGGAGACTGTTAATATAGGAGGCTTGAGGCTGTTAACAAAATACAAGGCTGGAGACTGTTAAAATACGAGGCTTCAAACTGTTAACATAGAACGAAAAGTTTATTCGCGTCTTGGTTATATTTTAAATATTTTGCTCGCGACACTGCACTGTGTTGGAAGCCGCCGTCCTGTAGCGGCTAGACGAACTGGGACTTGATCGTGAGTCTGGTCATCGTGTAAGATGGCGAAACATGACAGCCTGCAGATACTGGGGCGGCACGTGACGATCACCATAGCTGCATGTCGTGAGAGTCGACTCTGGATGGTTGATGGAAGACTGGGTACACACACCGAAGAAACCTTAGCTACTTCTTTCTTCGGTGCTTTCTTAATATCCTACCTCAAACAGGGGAAATCCACAGGTCACGGGACAGTCTAATATTTCAGGGCGCGGTAGATAGGCTGCATGTTGTTGTTAAACCTAGGCTGCACTCTCTGGTGGGACGTAGGTGGGTTGGAGTTAGGGCCAGTTCTAGATGTTTTGGGGTTGTTAAAGCATCAGAAAGACAGGAAACCCAGTCTCACTACCCTCGAAAATGTTAGACTGTGCTGTTACGTCATCTGGGGTAGGATAGTACGAAAGAACCCTTTCTTCTTCGCGTTCACCAACTGTAAACTCCGGTGAAAAGTTCTGGTTGTTCGGCCACTTCTGTACTTTAGTCTTGGTCCAGAACCTGACCTCACTTACGTGTATGCTTATTGTCGGTTTAGTGCTTCTCAGGGAGATGGAAAGATATAAACCTATTGTCGGTTTAGTGCTTCTCAGGCAGATGGAAAGATATAAAACCGAACGAGAAGTAGATCAGTCAGCTTCACAATATAACAAGCACAAACAAAACGTAAACGTTGCGGTTATAGGGCTTTCGTTAACACATACATAAATCAAACAACACCACAGGCAGATGTACTCCAGTTTTTAAGAAAACCCTCAATCTGTCAACTCTTACGACATGTTTGTTGTGTAGACAATGGGTCTATCCCCCCCCCCCCTCCCCAACACACACAATGGAGCCCCGGAACCAACACAAAGATCCTTAGTTACAAATTCCAGCTATTCTGGAACACATATGGCAGCCCTCATGATATACACATCTGAGCCACTCCGTATGCTGGCTTATGGGGGATATAGTGCAAGGCCTATATTCATACACCAATCCGAACTCGATGGGTGACGTGGTCGACATCCCTCCGACCGTCATTAAATCCCAGTCTTTTCCAGTATCCATTTTAGGCTTGACCGACCTGGGAGTGAAGGTCAGTTTGATAACTACAGATTTGAACCCTAAACCTTTAGACCGACAGGCTAGTGTCTAACTGCAATACTTTAATATTCTAACACTATTATTATTTTAACATCCTCAGGCGAAGCGCAGTATGCTCAATGGAACTATCGAATTTTATGTCATCCGATTGGCTATGACATTCCGCTGCACTTCTTTCAACAGGTATTTGTTTTATGACTTCCTTGTTTCAGAATTAAAGTACAAATATGTCATTATATGTAAAAAAAAAAAAAAATGTAATAGGAGATTTATTAAAAGGAAGAGGATTTAGAGAGAAATAAGAAGAAGAAAAAAAGAAAAATTATGATGATAATGATAGAGATAAATAGGAAGAAGAAGAAGAAAAAGAAAAAGAAGAAGGAGAAAAAGAAGAAGAAGAAGAAGAACGAACGAACTTAATTTTCAAAGGGTTACAAATTAGGCACGCAGGCCTGTCTTACATTCGGCCCTTCCAAACTTCCATCTTTCACACAGCAGTTGTATTAGAGCCGCAGGAAGAAGAAGGGCCGAAAAAGAAGAAGAAGAAGAAGAAGAAGAAGAAGAAGAAGAAGAAGAAGAAGAAGAAGAAGAAGAAGAAGAAGAAGAAGAAGAAGAAGAAGAAGAAGAAGAAGAAGAAGAAGAAGAAGAAGAAGAAGAAGAAGAAGAAGAAGAAAATTGAGAAGAAGAAGGAGGAGGGGTAGAAGAAGAATTAAAACAAGACCAAATCAACTTTCGATCGTTGATATAGTCATAATGCCTGTCATCATCTGGTATATATTTTAGGATTTGTAGTCATGCACGAGGAGTGGCTGGCCAAACAGTTAGAGCACCAGGCTCTCAAGCAGCAGACCTAGGTTCGAACCCTCGATAAGTTGGGGTTTTTTTTCTCTGTCGGTGGCCAAAGTGTAATCCACACCTGCTTAGTCCGTGGCGACACTTTCCCTGCGGCTCTAAATTCTTAGTCTCAAAGGACCCCCCCCCCCTCCCTTTTTGTTTTCTCCCCCACCGTCCTTCTTGCCTTTATCTTTTTTTTTAACGTATCCAGAAACCACGAGTTGTAAACCCTTTGGCTCGGTACTATGGATATCGCAACCCTTCGGCATTGGTTCCATTATAGGTACCGTTAATCTGGGAGAAATGTGGCTTTTCTGCCTACCCCCGAGGAGTGAACCCGGACCACAAGGAGTTCGTCACCCGGCCGCCGCGAAAGTCAGGTTTAACCAACTTCGCTAGAGAGCCGGGCCTTGCCTTTATTTCAAAATGGTAAAAACAGATAGAATTGGCAGTTTTTAAAAAAATGTAAAGATGGGAACCTACAGTCAGTTCTAAAAACCTGTTGGTTGTGGACTCAAAATCCAGACCTCTAGACCAACAGGAAAGCGTTTAGACACTGCGCCTTCAGGGCTGCCATTGACAATATACCTCAGTGTTATAGCCATATGGTAAACTGAAGGGTCATACTCCACGCCTTCTGTCGTTACTGTCCATATAAGTAAAATGTAAGTAAAAGTCCCTTTTCCACGCCTTTAGAAGTATAGGGCATATAGGGCTAGAACTATATTTTATAGACCAGTCGGCACAAGATGGGTGATGTGGTCAGCCTCACGAAGGCCGCCTTTACTTTCCGGGACTTCACCCGGTACCCATTCAAGGCCGCTACGCCACAGCGACTCCCGTTAGCCATATAAGGTTAGATATAAATTATAGACAAATCGGCGCTTGGTAGGTGATGTGGTCAACATCCACCAGCCGCCTTTACTTCCCAGGACTCTATCTGGTACCCATTTTAAGGCTCGGTAGAACTGGGAGACAAGATCTTGTTGAAAAGTTATGCTCGGTAAGGACCTAAACCCACGAGTTTCGTACCTGGGTGTTGTAACTACACCACCACCGCGGCGGCCATAACCATATGGTGCTCTATTGTTTATCTTTGCCACTTCCAGGAAGACGATCTCAGTTTCCGAGTACGCACAAGCCAAACTCTGACGCAGACGGCCAAAACCCGAGCAGCAAGATACAAGTTGTTTGATCCCTCCAGGTTTGTGTCTATGATCGTTATCGTTACTGTAGTATCATCATCATCATCGGCGTCGTCTCATCATCGTCTTCTTAATCGTAAAGATCACATTAGCATCCTCATTATCATCATCATTGTCATCATCACCACTATAATGAAAGGGACTCATCATCATCATCAGTTCTCGTTATGCCTAGTGGCACATGAGGCTTCAGAGAGGACTTTCCATGCTTTTCTGTCCTATGCAATCTTCAGTGCAGTTTTCATGTCAAAGATGCCACACTCAGGTCACTTTCCATCGTTCGTCTCCATGTTGTTTTGGGCGCCCCTGTTTTCTCTTTCACTCTGGTGTCCATGTGAGAGCTAATGAAAGGGACTGAAAGAGCACAATTTGTCTGGCTGTTAAAGTAGTAGCTACATGAACACTAATACTGGACAAAGCAGACATTTAGAAGACCATTTATAAACGAATACTGATAGAAGACACGAAGTTAAATAAAAAAAAAAAAAGTGTAAGAATGTGTGAACAGGGAAGTGTTAGTGGATATGAAACGGATAGACGTATGACAGGAAGAGAACCACGAGTGTATAATCAGTGTGCTGAAGAAACAGCTACACCTTAAGACATTTGCTGCGGGAGACAGAGCATCTATGGGTATGCCCGCTGCGCTTTTGTATCGATTATTTAAACAGTAATCATTTATACAACCGTCCTGATAAATGAAAATTACAATCAGTAAAAAGAGCTGTTACACGTCCTTTTAAAAAGTTAAAAAGTTGCCGTTTTAACCTGTTAACACGTACTGAGAAAATATCATTTCCCACAAAACAAGGGATACAGTCATCCTCGAGAAAGAATCGACGTCTTCCTCAGAAATCGAAGCGCATCCGTCTCAGACGCAAGGAACACATAATCCTGTAAAACGGATGTACACAAATAAAACTCAGTTCCGGTATAGTGAACGAAAACTTTTTTTTTTCTGAATAGTTATCAAATTATTTTTAATAAATTACCAAAACACACCAAGAGATACCACATTTTTAATTTTGCATTAAAAACAGCCAAAACGTCTTTAAACATACACAAACTAAGCGCGAGCGCCCGTGTAGATACAATGGTTTACTTATATTTGATCAGAATTAAAATTTTTTATACATTACACCATTGCTGTACCATATTCTTTCTTAAATGTTCAATTTATTACAAGACTTTTGGCAGCTTCTAGTTAGCGACATTAACAGCTTGGAGCAACAACTGTGATACCATCAAATGCATTTACTGTTAAAGTCTTCAAAGAAGGGAGATTTTGTATCCTAATATTTATTGTTAAGAAAACTCTCTCTGTATCTGCACAGGAAGGAAGTATTACCAAAAGACTAAGCATAGATTTTTCCGCCAATAGAAATCGTTTTATCTCCACATTTTTTAGTGATGTTGCAAACCAAAAATTTGCTGGTTTGATTTCCTTTATCTTCAGCATTAGCTTTTTGATCTTACACTACCAACTCCGCACTCCCCAATTCTTTAGTTATTTGATTATAACGTTCTTCTTTAACAAGACATGAAAGAGAACCATATGCTATTTGCCTGCACGGCCGCTACTTCACTGGCCTTGAAACAAACAAAAGCGCACTTGATCAATCACATCAAATCATAAACAATTTTAAAAAGAAAGAAACGGCTCCTTACCACACAAGAGCGCGTTAGGCAACTGAGGCTAGACTCACAATTATACGTTAAATATAAAACAAAATGTGACTAGAAAAGTCAACGGAGTTAATTAAAAAAAAAAAAAAAAACCAACACAAACACAACTGAACGTTTCGACCAAAGTCTTTATCTATGAAGCAATAATTACAACAAAAACTGTGACTGGAAAACAAAACGGATAAGACAACAGAGCTGATTTAAAAAAAAAAAAACGGAGTTCAACATGGAACCAAAATGCTCGTAATTGGGGGAGGAGGGAGGAGAAGGTAGTAATTTTAAAAAAATATATATATTTTATAGAGTATCAACAAATGCGTCACGCTTTTTTTCAGTACATTTCAAATTCCCTTTTCTAAAAGATTTAACAAATTGCAAAAAATAAAAATATCGATGCAAAAATGTCTGAAAACGTATGCAAACATCGGGCGTGGAACCAAAAGTACAGTTTTATTTGGCAAGAGTCAAGTAGTACCAAATCCGTACGAAAGTACCAACTTCTGCAACTAGGGACCTGACACAAAGTCCAACCGAACTAACGAACAACCACGACTTTCCACTGGCGTTCACAGCCGGTATCACAAATAAACAATGACAATACAATGTACTAACAAAATGTGACAAATGTATCTCAACAGAAAAACCAGCTACCAGATCCTAGACTCGATTTTTGCCGAGATCCCAGGGAAAGATAACTACGGCTCCAACCTGACGTTCACGACGTTCGCAGAGGACATGTTCGACACCGGTTTTTCTGACAACACTCATCTGTTGAACACGGGCTACTACCACAGGGCCTACAAGTCTTTCCGGAGTGGCGCTGGAGGCATCGCGGTGAGTTGGATAGTTGTGGCAGCACAGGTAAAACGACCCTTTCCCATGCCTTCAGGCGTATTGGGCATATAGGGCTAGACCTACATTTTATAGACCAATGACACCTGTCGCCTTTATCGCTCAGAACTTTTGCCTGCTGTCTACTTAGGCCAAGGTCATTTTGGAAAACAAAAACGGCTAACACCGTTGAGATTTGAAGCCATGACCTTGGTATCCACAGGCGGGAGTCTAGCTGCTTCGCCACGGCGACTTTGTGGTAGTAAAGGTTAAGATTAGTTGCGTATCCTTTACAGGACGTTGCAGAACCAACCCCAGCAGCCCCTGGCTGTTGTGGGGTTTTTCTAGGCAAATTTACGTCCAGTAGTTTGCCATTGCTTACTGGACGGTCGGCTTTCTTGATATCACTGTCGAAACCAACGCAAGGCGCATGGCCCGCAGCTGGGATTGAACTCGGCACCCCGGCATTACAAAGCGTTCGCATCGACTTAGCCACAGAGCCGACTGTAAAGGTATTTACTGTAAACAAAACCTAAGACGCATGTGGATCTAAAAAAAAACTGGAAATAATTTTATGAACCAGACCGATTACACAAAAACATCTGATAGAGCAGCTGTAGACTGTAGTAGTGACCATGTGCCAGCCATGGGAAAACTAAGGATGAAGCTGTAGAAAATACAAAAGGCTCCAAGAAATATCGAGCTAGATTAGGCAATGCGTGAATCAAATTTAAAATATGAACGACAGAGACGCCACCACTGTACACACTAGAAACAACGCCGTGTTTTAACTAAATGTGTCAGTTCAGAGAAAAAAGAACGAATGTGGCCTTATAATTTATTATCAAAGTCCACCGACAGACACTGTCTCCTAATGTTTGGGCGTCGTCACCGAAGCTACGGAGTTTTGAGCTGTATGCAGTGCTTGCGGTCGGTGAATGGCCACGCTAAGGAGACTGAGCCGAATAGGATACTACTTAGTGAAATAAAATCGATTCACTAGTCTTTGAACATAGTTTCAATTGTTTCAATACAGCCTTTCTTATATAATTAATTATAATTATCCATTTTCTGTGTACAGCCTTGTTGTATTACTTATGGTTTATGATAGATTATCGCCAATATCATTACTTCATCATCATCATTTAGCATGTCATTTGCAGAACGTCGCTCTCATCATGGTCTGCCTGAAAGAAACCCGGTCTCTTGCCAACTCTCTCGCCTCGTGTACTTTCATATCCAAGTAGTTACTTATATGTTGTGCCCATCTTCGTGTTGGTCGGTCCCTGCCTCTCCTTGCTGAATCATGCCTTCTGTTAGAAAAAAAAATTACAGTCCGCCATGAAGCTTGATACCTCCAAAATATTTCAGCTCCTAAGACAAGATGCTGTTTATTCATCTTCCTTGATGTTCAGATCTTTTAGAATGTCATTATTCCTTTTTGACTTTGTCAGTGGTGTTCTGATAATTTTTTCTAATATTTCAGCTCAGAAGTCCCCATTTTCTTCCTTGTGAACTGTACTGCTGATCGTACCTCTTCCAGTAAAAGCTCTGGCTCCTTATCCTCACTTTCATAAGCTGTTTCTGAATTATTAAATCATTACTTACTATTGGGAGTCGCTGTGGCGTTAGCGGCTAGACGCCCGCCTGCGGTCGGAAAGTCGTGGGTTCGCGTCCTGACGAAGCCGGACTTTTCTTTCAAAAATGAACTTGACCTCCAGGTCGACCCAGTCTTTAGTGAGTACTAGGTGTGGTCCTGGGAGGTAAAAGCAGCCGGCATGATGCTGACCACATCACCCTCCAAGTAAGTTCCGATTAGTCTATAAATATATAGGTTTAGCCCTATATGCCCAATACGCCTAAAGGCGTGGAAAAGAGACCTTTACTTTACTTACTAACTGGTGCATATTTCATGTTTACAATATTATTTCTTTACTGATTAACATGTTGTTCTATTTCTGAACTAGTACACGGCCTTGGGATTCAACGATGACAACTTGTGGGTATCGCAAACAACTCAGCCACGCGTGGCTTCCATTGAGACAGATAACTGCTTTAAAGTGTAAATGATATATTGTTTATTTATATTCTTTACCTTGTACTATTGCATGTCTCCTATCTTCTAATAATGTATACATTGTACCAGTGTATAGTTTTCTTGCTTGGTTACATGCAAACCTTTTACATTATACCAGAAAATATTTTTTACTAGGTAACATGCATACCGTTAACGATGTGCCAGCGTATAGTTTTCGATTGTTAAATGCATACCTTTTATATTGTCAAGTGTATAGTTTTTACATTATTAAATTAGTGGCGTATCCTTTACAGGACGCTGTACAGCAAGCTCCAGCATTTGTGTGTGTGTGTGAACTATTTATGATTGCCATCGTTAATTCAGTAGTTTGTCATAACTTCCTAAACTCTTGATCAGTAGTTTGTCATAACTTCCTAAACTCTTAATCAGTAGTTTGTCATAACTTCCTAAACTCTTAATCAGTAGTTTGTCATAACTTCCTAAACTCTTAATTAGTAGTTTGTTATTACTCCTAAACGACCTTTTAGTAGTTTGTCATAACTTCTTAAACTCTCAATCAGTAGTTTGTTACTTCCTAAATGGTCTTTCGGTAGTTTGTAATTACTTCCTATACTTTCAAGTGGTCAGCTGAAAAATCGCCCGAATCTGCAATCGAAACTGGCACAGGCGCGAAAAGAATCCTTTACTTTCACTTTAACGAAAATCTTTAGTTCGAATCTTCATTGAATTATACAACTATCTGGTCTCCCGTCGTGGCCTTAAGTCTAGACGATCCCCTATGGATCCGAAAGTCGTGGGTTCAAATCAGCATCGATTCGGATGTTTTTCAAAATTAACCTTGGCTCTGCGGTGGATCCAGCCTAAAATGGGTTGCAGATAAAGTCCTTGGAAGCAAATGCGACCGGTGTGATGTTGATGATATCACCTATTAAATGTCGATTTGTATACACAAATGTGAGTCTAGAACTGTATGTCCGACGCGCCAGTCACGTGTAAGGATCCTTTATGTTTACTTTTACTTATCAATTTCTTTTTGTCCTCCACTCCTACTTCTCGATTTATTTTGTCCTTCACTTTTACTTCTCGATTTATTTTATCCTAAACTTCACTTCTCCATTTCTTTTGTCATTCCCTTTTACTTCGTGATTTCTTCTATTCTTCACGTTTACTTCTCCATTTCTTTTGCCCTTCATTGTTATTCTTTTGTTTGTAACTTTTACTTTTCGTTTTCTTTTGTCCTTCACTTTTACTTTTCCATTTTTGTTTTTACTTTCACTTCTCGATTTCTTTTATCCTTCACTTTTACTTCTCCATTTCTTTTGCCTTTTATTGGTACTTCTCGATTTCTTTTGCCCTTTATTGGTACTTCTCGATTTCTTTTGCCCTTTATTGGTACTTCTCGATTTCTTTTGCCCTTTATTGGTACTTCTCGATTTCTTTTGCCCTTTTTGGTACTTCTCGATTTCTTTTGCCCTTTATTGGTACTTCTCGATTTCTTTTTGTTCTCAACTTGTGCTTATTGTTTTCTTTTGTCCTTCACCTTTACTTCTCGATCTATTTTGTTCTTAGCCTTTACTTCCCGATTTCTTTTTTGTCCCTAACTTGTATTCTTGATTTATGTTGTATTTATGTGAACTCTTCTAGTCACTTGTAACTAATATGTGGCTCTTGTATGGAAATAGGCTAAATAAATTCGGAAAGCTGGCGACCCGATGCAATAGAGGCGAGATCCGGGTGTCCTATGCTATCCCACTAGAGGTCATATTCTTGACCCCTCTTCTAACATGGAATCCGTACAATATTGTCTTCCATGATGTAAGTACCGCAGTGTATTCTATTTATTCAACAAAATCACTGTATTTTATTAGTTTATATATATATATATATATATATATATATATATATATATATATATATATATATATATATATATATATATATATATACCCCCCTTTTTTCCCTTAAAAATGACCTTGGCTCCCAGTCAACCCGGTCATGAATAAGTTACCCGATAGAGTCATGGAAAAGTAAAAGTGGCCGGCCTGACATTGACTACATCATCCACCGAGCGCTGAGTGGTCTAGAACATATAGGTGTTGTCCTATGTGCCCAATATGCATAAAGACGTGGCAATTGGTCATATACTTTATTTTGCATATACTAGATAGCATCGCAACGTACTAATTATCGTAATATTATTGCTAGATAAGATACCCCTCCTTGGTTTTCCTGGGCACCCTGTATGGGATCGGAAGGAGGGATAGAACTATCCTTCCAAGGTTTCTTGTGTATCCTTTACAGGACGTTGCAGAACTAACCCCTACAGCCCCTAGCTGTTGTATGGTTTTTCTAGGCAAATTTACGTCCAGTAATTTGCCATTGCTCGCTGGACGGTCGGCTTTCTTGATACCACTGTCGAAACCAAACGCAGGCGCATGGCCCGCAGCTGGGATCGAACCTGGCATCCCGGCATTACGAAGCGTTCGCATTGACTTAGCCACAGAACCGACCATCCTTCTAAGACATGCCATAAATGTTGACTGATTAGCATTTTTTTCATGGGACGTAGTTGGTTGAAAGGTGCAAATAGCCTAGCTGTAAAATATAATGCGCTAATTGCTTTTTTTTTAAAGGGTGAACACAGAAGAAGAAGATAATAGAAGAGAATATACCATATACTATAGCACAGTACGCAAGGTATACAAATATTGTTTTATTTGCAGGACCCAGATACAGCAATAAAAGACGACCGTACAGGCTCGAAAGAAAAACCACTCAATGGCATAGATAAGTCACACTACTACATGACACCGATGGAGTTTTTCACAGGTTACTTTCAATGTTCGATTTTTTTTTGGGCATTACATGGTAATATACTAGGCACATTCTTACATTTTAATTATCCCACGCAATAGAGGCGCTCAAACTGGGACATAAGACGATGAACAGGCGAACTTTATTTTCGAAGGTTCATAAATTGGGCACGAATGTCTGTCTTACATTCGACCCTTCCAAAAACACATCTTTCACATTTCAATCTTTCAACAATATACATATTAGGAATATCAAGGAGAAATTCAAAGATAAAGAAGAAGCGAAAGAAGAAGAAGACGATTATGATGATGAAGACCATAAAGATGGGGATAAATGAATATGATGATGATGAAGAAGAAGAAGCAGAAGATAATGTAGAAAAAAATAATCAGAAAATGCAAAATAATTAAAAAAAAAAAAAATAATAATAATTATTTTGGACACAAACATAAGATACAGTCTTCTTTCCTACAGGTCCTCGAGACATGTCAGACCCAGCAGACACTGTGAAGACCTACATCTATGTCTTAGCCCCAGACGGCGAGGCCAAGAAAGTCTCCTCCTCTGGTACAAGAATCTCAATACCGGAAATTGGAAGTGAGCTACCATGTCATGTCCAGCAGTGGCCAGTAGTGCATGCAACGGCTGTAAAGCCAATGAAATTTTCCACTGACAAAGAAATGTGCCCTATTTTACATGTTATTATTACTGTTTACTATTTATTACAAATAAATCGACTCGATTTATGTCTCGAACAGAACGAACGCTGCATGCCTAAATTGTAAAGTGTGAAAACTGGCAATTACTAGTCTACAATGCTAGCTACATATGTATTCTCTCTACAGTCAATCGACGAGGAACAAATTGTCACTTGAAACACTCTTCAGCATAATCGCCACATGCTAACGTTTACACATGCAAAATGATCACACCTCTCCACTGATCTACCGCCCCCTAGAGTTGACTTTTTTTTTTCTTTTATACGCCGTGTCGTTAGAAATGCAACATTATACTGAGAGAGACCATGTGTCGGCTGTTTCTGAGTCAGGTCTTGGTCAGATATGAAAGAGCTACTGTATAACTATAGCCGGTACTACCTGTTCTTTGTTGATAATGAATGTTAGGCGGGTTATATCCCCTCTTTTTAGCGACCTTTAGTTGTAAACTCAGGCGAAAAGTTTTGATGGTTCATCCACTCTGTACTTTTGGCTTGCTCCTTAACTCGAGTTTTTGCAATCACATCTGTTTTACAGATCCAGCTTATTTTTATGCAGGCTGTTGGTGCTTCGCATCTCAGGCGAATGCACTCCGACTTCAAAGGAAACAGCCCTAAATACTTGAATTTTCGGCGTTGATTAGTTAGTTAGTTAGTTAGTTAGTTAGCCATGGTTTCAAAATCCCCGCAATCGGGTTTTCCCCATACTTGCTCCGTTCCTGTGCCAGTGTGAATCAAATAAAATGCCCCTCACTGTTGCATTTGAAAAACTGGTGGGGGAAAAAAAACTTGTTCTGAAACAATCCAGAAATATGTGCACACAGTAAATGCGTATTTCAGTTGCTGGAGGCGCCAAAGCCAACAATTGCCACCAGAAATGCTGTTTGTCGTTGATGGAAGCAGTCGGGCACGATAAGCTGCTTACTACACAAACATAGCATTCTTAAATTAGGTATTTCCCCAGCTCACACGTAAACCGGTCACCGGCCATGTTGAACAAAATGACACAATAGATGCACAAATGAAAGGCATTCAATAGGAAAAACACAGCTCACAGGGGGGCTGCAACCAAGCACTAAACTTATAAGCTCAGGCAGCGAAACCGTAGACTACCGTCCTTATGTGAAAACTGCATTATCAAAGTGCTGCCAGAAGCAAAAATAACTTTAAAGCTGTAACATTTTGCTAAGCCTTTTCTCCATTCTGGCCAGAAGTGCGTGTTGATTAGGCCGGTGGGGGGGGGTGGGGGGGGGGGGGGGTTAATAGGTTTATTCTGCCTTCATCCAAAATAGGGCAACATAATTTACACGGGGGGGAGGGGGGGGGGGGGGCTTTAAAAAACCTAACATCCCAGATTTTGCCAACAGCTTTGGGCAGAGAAGCACACTGGGGAAGTATAATAGCTTTATCGCTGAAAGAGGAATTGCGACTGAAAAATCTAATATTTGAAAGGGCACAACAAGCCCTTAGACATAGCTGCCATATGGTCTATGAGGGAAGCTCCGACTGGCAGACCGACAGAGTACTGACCTTCTTATCTGACAGCTTCTGTAGCATGCCTTTTTGCAAACGCTTTGCTGTTACATTTCTGTTAGGATAAACAAAGCAGGCAGAGCTAGGGATAATGCTGCATGGTCAATACACAAAACCTACGGACACAGTGGCTCTATCTAATACAACACATAGCGTTTTACGAAATTACTTTTGCTTTTGTCCGATGTCATGCTGGGGCGAAAGGTAAGAAAAGAGCAGAGGCTTTGGCTGGCAGTGCGACTATCAGGAATGGGCTGTCTATGGACAGGAGAGACATCATCAATGTGGAGAATGATTTTTCACTGAATAGACTACATACCCTGGGTGTACCATTTGGAGCAGCGAGACGGTAAAACCATACAGGAGCCACCCGTCGTTACATCAGCTAAAAAAAAAAGAATGCGAGTTGTTACCCTCAAAACACTTGGAGACAAAGTCGTGAGGAGGTCGGATAACTTATGGTCATGTCCTATGTGCGATGAAGATGATTCCTTAAATGAACAATGAACACAATCTTTAAAATAACGCCCATGTGTTATGCTATGAAGAGGAGACACTGAATCCCATCCCTGAGAGTAACTGTTTAGTTATTGAGTTAGATTGATGGCAACATAATCATGCGAATGGAGGAAACATAATTGCAGGTAGGTTCAGATCCGAGTGTCTGAGAAGAAACACATTATGTACATGCGATGGGAACAAATGATAAACATCTTATGCAATATATAAAGGTAAGAAAAAGAATTCATGCTTGCTACATACATGCAGTTTTAACATATTGCTGTGAGTCCTGAACAATCGGTAGGCAGGCCACAACATTTCATGAAGCCTCAGAGATGTGGTTTTACAGAAGAATGATCAAAATACCCTGGCCAGCTAAGAAGAGCTACCAAAGGGCAGGAGCCCGAAGACAAATTATCACAGACATCAGAAGGGGCCAGTCATCATTTTTTGTGATGTTATGAGAAGAGGGAGAACGGAACATGTTGTGACCACTGGAAATATTTGTGGAAGGAGTGATAGAGGAAGACAACTAGAGAAGATTCTTGACAGTCTCGTTGCATGGCATGGAGGTGGGTCAGCACACCAACTTATACAGGCTGTAGCAGATTGCGGATTGTAAACAGGCATGATCGCCCACGCCAGTCGGCAAGGCAGCTAATGATGATGATGATGGCCCACTAGTCCTGAACTCACATGCAATAGTTGTGGGGGACTTTTCTTACCGCGGGCAGGTCTTGCTGATCCCACTCGCCATCGCCATGGGCGGTGAATGGCATGCCTCATTAGAGGAAGTCAAAACTATGGCGGGGAAAGAGGGAATGATGCCAACACAGTCACAAAACTAACTTTACTTTATCTCTACTCATAGGGCGCCGGAACTGGGAGTTCAGGTCTCGTGACCCCTGGCCCAAATGTTACATGAGGATTAAAAGGCCACTTTAACCATATATAGAAATGCTCTTTAAAAGTATTCTGTATACGTTTTATATTATTTCATGTATAAAACATTTATTTGCCATTCACACATTAGTAATAATAATTACAAAACTAATAACTGTACTGTTTTGAATACAGTGGTTTTAAATAATATGAAATGTATAAACAAATTGGTTGGAGAGCAGGGAGGGGGGGGGGGGGGGGGAGCGCTTATATGCCCTGAGACCCCATTGTTTGACAAGAATATTTGCAGTGTGGGGTTGAACGCCCCCGCTTCTCCACATTGCTTTCTGTGTGCCGGCGCCACTACATGTATCATTATTTCCAGGAAGTGATCCGATCCGAGTAAGATATCCTATAGCCCCTGTACACTACGAAGGCAGTTCTGTCTGGAAGGAACTCACGGCTCTCAAAGACAGGGAGGACAATTCTGGTGTTCCAAGTTCTGTGGTGTTTGAGGTATGTCAGATCAGCTCTTTTAATAACGTGGTTGTAGGAAATACTGCATCTGAACGTTCACGTTTTGTTTGTATTTGTTATATTGTAAAGCTTGCTAATATACTTTTCGTTCGGGTTTATATCTTTTCTTGATATTTTTATAGCTTCACAGCAGTTCATTAATCTCACCCACTTCGTGTGTCCTGCCCGCCCAGAACTGCTACTATATGTTTGTACCTGTCGCACTCGTCCATATTGTCCATTATTGTACCTATGTAGTATTGTTTATTTTGTGGGTGCTGATGAAGGCTCAATAGCCGCAACGTTGACGTTTTGTTTGTATTTGTTATATTGTGAAGCTTGCTAATATACTTTTCGTTCGGGTTTATATCTTTTCTTAAGGTTATTTTTAAAGGGTTAGGAATTGGGCACACAGGCCCGTCCTAACACGTTGCCCTTCTGGCCTCACTCCGTGCATGCATTATTACATGCATACATCAGTTTGGCAGATAATAATAATAATTATTATTATACTATTAATAATAATAATTAAGATCATTAACAATCTATGTCTCAGTTACAAACGCTGGAAATATGTTCTAAACATTCCAACATGTTGAAATAACAATAATACTAATAATATTTTGCAGGTCGACCAGCCTCAAATGGGTACCAGGATGGCTGTCCTGGGGAAATAAAAACGGCTGGCGTAATGCTGACCACATTACCCACCGAGTGCCGATTGGTCTGTAAAAATATGGGCCTCTTCCCTTATGCCGATGCGCCTAAAGGCCTGAAAAAGGATCTTTATTTTACTTTTACTTAGTAATAAAATATGGGAAATCAACAATATACCTCAGAGTAAAAGAGATATTCACACTGAAAGACAGACTAACGGTGAACATAAGCATTCTCAAACGGAGAGACAGACAGCAATATATAATTCAAAGCAAAAAGCACGAACCCAGCTACGAAATCAAGAATCCTCTGAAACACATGTACTCGCCAATCGAAGGACGGAGTCCGAAACCTAAACTACAACATTCAACAGACAAGGCTACCCTCTGAACCTTTTCACCACTTTGCCATGGGAGATTCTTCTTTATTTTTCAGGTGGTTGGGCGGGAGGGGGGACGGGGGGGGGGGGGGGTGAGAAAGCGCCACGTTTAGCAGCATCTTCGAAGGGGGACCTTTAGGTTATAATTGAGACTAGGTTATGTGCACCATATAACATTGCATAGCATTGCTTGTCCCCAAGTAGCCGTGAAAATGACTCTTGCAGTGCTAATAATGTGATCAAAGGAGTTAGTTAGGTTAGTTGCGTATCCTTTACAGGACGTTGCAGAACCAACCCCAAGTGCTCTGGCGGTTGTGCGGGTTTTCTAGGCAAATTTACTTCTAGTAGTTTGTCATTGCTACTGGACGGTCGGCTTTCTTGATACTGTATAATGCGTAATGGCCTTCAGCTGGGATCGAACCCGGCATTCCGGCATTACGAAGCGTTCGCATCGACTTAGCCACAGAGCCGATTGATCGAAGGAGACAGACCCAAATACTGTCCCGACGAAGTGGTCTACTGACCAGCCAATGGGCGACCCGCCCGCCCATGTATGAGAGCTTCTTCTTCTTTTTATTCATACTCTATTTAAACCCCAAAACTGGTTTCATTACTTTTTGGGAAAGTAAAATACTCAAAATTTTAAAACTATAAATGGTCGTCCTAAGGACGTTATGTTGAGAAGTTCGTTCTTTTACGAAATACGTCTGACATTAAGCCCAGAGACGGCGAAAACATCAGCAATTTAGCCACGAAAGTGTCGCAAATAAACAAGACCATAAATATAGCCGGAGATTTTTGGCAGCTTCGGCTAGCTAGCAGCAGGTTGACCATGGTTGAGTTTTTGATTTTTTTCTCAAAAGGAATTGGAATTGAAATGTTATTCATGTTCTACTTTCAACCTCAGTTTTTGAAAAATCTGGCGCAAGCCTGCCTTGGTGTGTCCTACGTAGCTGCTTTTTTTAAATTCTCTACTTCAGATGTTCTATCTATTCATTGCTCTGGTTATTCTATGCTTCGATGACAAGGCTTTCTGCGGGGCACTGTCTTGTGGAAGCCTTGATACCTGTCCGAACCACTTGATCTGTTGTCTCTTGACATAATTTAACACTGATTCCGCCCCAGTTTGTGTTCCCTTATCGTCATTTCTAATCGTGTGTTCATTTTTAATCCTCTCTAGACTTTTAAAAAATGTTTCCTTTAGGCTTACTGTATTTTTTAATGTTCCCTGTACATCTACCGTACTTATGATGTTTCCTCTAGACTTACCGTATTTATGAATGTTTCCTATATGCTTACCGTATTTTTTTTAACGTTCCGTCTAGACTTACCGTACTTATTATTGTTCTCTCTAGACTTCCTTATTTAATTAATATTCCCTCTAGACTTACCTTACTGTTTTCTCTAAACTTATAGTATTTTTTAACGTTCCCTCTAGACTTACCGTATTTATGAATGTTCCCTCTAGACTTCCGTATTTATGAATGTTCCCTCTATACTTACCGTATTTTTTAATGTTTCCTCTAATCTTACCGTATTTTTTAAACATTTCTGAATGTAACTATTTCACAGATGTCAATAACAGTCCAGGACCCTCCAGGCGAGCACAGCCATGAGTTCAAACTAAACTACGAAGAATTTAGCCTGCTCATAGCCGAAGAGGAAGTTCAAGTTGTGACTAGCGAGGCCCAGGAACATGCCCATGAACTAACAATTGTTTTTGATCCGAAAACAAAATCGTAAGTATTTTATTTATGTAAGTATATTTAAGACTCCCCTGAAGGTCCTGGGTTCAAATCCAAATTGAGTCGCAATTAAAACAGAAAGCCATCGGCGTCCGGGTCGACCCAGCCTTAAATGGGGAATATGAAAAGTTCTAGGAAGCAAAGCTGATAACTACATCACACACCGAGTACCGATTGGTCTACAAAATATATTTCTTTTACTGTATGCACCTGAAGGCGATAAAAGCGGCCCTCTACTTGTACTATATATAAATATAATAGAGCCTTGCCTACCAGGCTAAAAGTCTAATGTTCAATTCCTATTCAAGATGTAATTTGTTTCTACTCTTTTACTTTTATCAGCACCTTTTTTTGGAGAAAAAAAAAAGCATCAATAAACATGTTTGAGATTTGTGTGTGTGTGTGTGGTTCTTGGAAATTTACGACCAAACTGAAGTAAAAAAAATCTAAATTCAAGAAAATCGATTAAGAATAAATGTCAAGACATATATATATATATATATAGGCTGACGCAAATACAAAGAGTAGGACAAGAAGGGTGTTGCCACGAAGAAGAAGAACAAGAACAAGAACAAGAAGAACAAGAAGAAGAAGAAAAATAAGAAGAAGAAGAAGAAGAGGAAGAAGAATAACAACATCAAGAACAAGAACAAAAGAACAAAAAGGAACAAAAAGAAGAAAATAGTAATAGTAATAGGAGGAAAAAAAAAGAACTAGAACAAAAAAATATTAAAAAAAATTGATGGCAACAACGCAACAGCAGCGGAAGAAAAAGCGCAGGAGGATGAAGAATTCAACGTCAGCCAGCCGCCTTTATCTCCCATGACTGTTTGACAGTGATGCTAGGTTTCAACCAGCTGGGAGCCCCGGACAATATGTAGAAATCGTCACATGTTCGAACTCATGACAGCTGGGCTGGTAGAGTGCCTGTCAATCACCGCGCTACCACGAAATCTATGGTGCCTCAGATTAACATTCTAATTTAGTTGGTTACAGAATTTATTATTATTACCATCATCATCATCAACAACACCACCATCATCATCATCATCATCATCATCATCATCATCATCATCATCATCATCATCATCATCATCATCATCAACAACAACAGTAACAACAAAACAACAGTAACAGCGTCATCATCATCATTATCGTCGTTTCATCATCATTATCATCTTCATTAACACGTCATCATTATCATCATCATCATGATCATCATCATCATATCATTATCATCATCAACAACATCATCTTTTGTAGCCGTTATACCTGACATAGGGCTAGCAGTCTTTTTTTGTCTATTCCATTCTGTCCCGTGCGACTACTCTCCTGGTTGCACAATTGCTAACTACTTATTTTATTTCTCAGCTTCAAGTACACCTCCTGCGACAATGACCGCATCTGCTTCGATGGACACCCGACGTTGGTCACCCTGATCACCCAGAACGATTTCACTCGATCAGCTATTTTATAATTTAGAATCACCACAAACAGCTTGTACATATTCGAAATCTAACAAAATGTTTATGAACAGAAAACCGGTGAAGTATTTTTCTGTTGTATGCAATCTATCTTTGTTAGGGAGGGAAGAGCAGTTTATAATATATAACATAAAAAAAATGTACCCTTTTCAAAATTCGCTCCCTGGCAGAGCCAAACTTTAAAAAAAAAGACCCTTTCTCCCAGGTCGACCCAGCCTTGAGTGGGTACCGGGTGCAGTCCCGGGAAGTAGAGGCGGCCGGACGTGATGCTGACCACATCACCCATCTTGTGCCGTTGGTCTATAAAATATAGGTCTAGCTCTGTATAACCGATACTTCTGGAACGCGTGGAAAAGGGTCCTTTACTTAGATTACTTACCCTTTACACAAAATATTCTGGGCTCCACTGATGTGATATTAGAGTCTTTTATTTAACGAAAGTCAATTATTACATCAGTCCCCTCCCCCTCCCTTTTATTTTAGAGATTCAATATGGCTACCTCTGGTGACACGACACTCAAGCCTTTACCACCGTTGCAAGAGATATGTTGATTCGTGTATGGAAGGAAATGAACTATCGAACAGATATCAACAGTGTCACGAAGTGTGCCCCTAGGTTAGTTGCGTATCCTTTACAGGACGTTGCAGAAATAACCCCAACAGCCCCTGGCTGTTGTGTGGTTTTTCTAGGCAAATTTACGTTTAGTAGTTTGCCATTGCCAACTGGACGGTCGGCTTTCTTGATACCACTGTCAAAACCAACCCAAGGCGCAAAGCCCGCAGCTGGGATCGAAACCCGGCATCCCGGAGCGTTCACATCGACTTAGCCACTAGTGTTCTCTTACTGAATCTTTATAATATTGAAACCAAAACTTTCGATAAATAAGAGATTCAAATATCACATCATTATGGCCAAGACTATGTTTTTGAAAAGGGTACATTCTTTTTCATATATTCTGTAAATTGTGTCGAGGCGGTCCAGCGTTTGACTGGGTCAATTTTTTTAAGAAGATTTCAGGAATCAAGTGTTGACTGCCAAAGTGCACATCATGCCATACAACAAAAACAGCAAGTCAATTAGGGTTAAAGGCCAGACTATGGCATTATGTAGACAGCTAAATAATAATAAAAAACACAAAACTGGTGCTCTGAGTCACTACTATACAATGGCGAATATCTTGAGAAGATTCCAGACTTTTTGGACTAGCTAACTCTCTAATTGACTAGTTAACTCTCTAATTGACTAGTTAACTATCTAATTGACTAGTTAACTATCTAATTGACTAGTTAACTATCTAATTGACTAGTTAACTATCTAATTGACTAGTTGACTATCTAATTGACTAGTTAACTATCTAATTGACTAGCTAACTCTCTAATTGACTAGTTAACTATCTAATTGACTAGTTAACTATCTAATTGACTAGTTAACTATCTAATTGACTAGTTAACTATCTAATTGACTAGTTAACTATCTAATTGACTAGTTAACTATCTAATTGACTAGTTAACTATCTAATTGACTAGTTAACTATCTAATTGACTAGCTAACTATCTAATTGACTAGCTAACTATCTAATTGACTAGCTAAATATCTAATTGACTAGCTAACTCTCTAATTGACTAGCTAACTATCTAATTGACTAGCTAACTATCTAATTGACTAGCTAACTCTCTAATTGACTAGCTAACTATCTAATTGACTAGCTAACTCTCTAATTGACTAGTTAACTCTCTAATTGACTAGCTAACTATCTAATTGACTAGTTAACTCTCTAATTGACTAGCTAACTATATAATTGACTAGCTAACTCTCTAATTGACTAGTTAACTATCTAATTGACTAGTTAACAACTAACAACTAACTAAATAAGTAAAGATCTTACTGAATAAATAACTGACAAAGTAACTAATTACCTTCTTCTTCTTGGCGTTATCTAGCTATAAACTCTTGCGGAAAGTTCTGGTTGTTCATCCCATTTTTGGACTGCAGTGCTGTTCCAGAACCTAAGGGTTGCGTGTGCATCTGTTTTTCAGATCTGACTCATCTGCATGCAGACTGCTGGTTCCTTACCTCTCAGGCTGATGCACTCCGTTTTCTAAAAAGAGGCTCCCAATTAGTCGACTTTTACGACATGCTTTTTGGTAGGCAGTGGGTCTATTCTTGTTTTCCCTATAATAGGGCCCCGTAACCCACACAGGGAACTAATCAAATTACTGACCTGATGACTGATTCACTAACTGACTAGCCACAGTATACAGAATCAGTTCTGATCTACAAATGCGATCTACGGACAGACTGACTAACTGCTCAGAATTAGTTCTGATCTACAAATGCGAACTACGGACAGACTGACTAACTACACAGAATCAGTTCTGATCTACAAATGCGAACTACGGACAGACTGACTAACTATACAGAATTAGTTCTGATCTGCAAATGCGAACTACGGACAAAGTGACTAATTATATAGAATTAGTTCCGATCTACAAATGCGAACTACGGACAAAGTGACTGACTATACAGAATCAGTTCTGATCTACATATGCGAACTACGGACAGACTGACTGACTATATAGAATCAGTTCCGATCTACAAATGCGAACTACGGACAAAGTGATTACATAGAATCAGTTCTGATCTACTCTTGCAAAAGACGGACAATCAGCGGATTACTAGAGAAACTATACTGACAATTGAAAGATAAAGTTCTATGGACGAATTATGACAGCAGTGTACACAGTCAAAAGTATAATATCAAGTTTTATTTCAGGCCACATTTTTTGATTTGTTTCGGATATAATCCAGTGTTTCTTTTTGGATAAAGCTGCTACATGTGTAGCAAAGGTATAGTGGATTTAAATATTCAACAAAACTGCTTTATAATGCGTACATGCGATTAGGCCTGTGGCTATAGCCCCCCCCCCCCCCCCCCACCCTCAAAAAATAAAAATGGACTCATAAATAAAACTGAACTCCCTTATCAGAAAAGGGAAGACCACAGCTTTGCTTCGTGGATTATATCGTTTCGAAAGAAAGAAGAAGAGATGCATAGAAAGATCCAAAGAGGAGATAGTGAACGGTTGAGCACTACGACGTGGAAGGAAATGTTTGCTCTTTACTAGTGACCTAAGTAGGGCTAAATACTTGTTTCTGGGGGGAAAAAAAGGCTTTTGAAAATGAATGACTATGAAACATCCATATTGTGGTGAAGAAGAAGTAGAAGAATAAGAAAAAGAAGAAGCAAAAGAACAAGAAGAGGAAGAAAAAAAGAAGAAATATTTGGAATAGTAATTCATATGTGTATATTCGGCATTTGTAAAGTGAAAAATAACATCCATGAAACTGCACTTTGGTGAAAATCGCAAAATCTGCTAACCAGTGACTTTCACTTAGTGTCACAACAAAATCACGTATCTGAAATGACTGATAGAATGCGCAGCGAATAGAAACTACAACCCACGCCACATATCTGCAGTATAAGAAGAAATACATTTTTGATTTTATCAGCCCTACTTCACACTCGCTTGCGGATCCGGACGTGATGGATTCAGATCCAAACGAAGCAGAACGTAAAAAGAAAATGAAACTTGGCTCCCAGTTTGTCCCAGCTTTTAGTGGGTACCTGCCAAAGTCCTGGGGAGTAAAGACGGTCGGCGTGATGTTGACCAAATCACCCCGCTAGTGCCGATCAGTCTATAAAGTATAGGTCTAGCCCTATATGCCCAAATACGCCTAAGGGCCTGGAAGAGGATCCTTGACCTTACAGTACTTCATAAAATACGCTCGTCGCGGATCGGAAGTAGCCAGACTTTTTTCAAAAATGACCTTGGCTCCCAGGTCGACCCAGCCTTGAGTGGGTACTGGGTGCAGTCCCGGCCGGCGTGATGCTGACCACATCACCCATCGTGTGCCGATTGGTCTATAAAAATATAGGTCTAGCCCTGTATGCCTTATACGCCGTAAGGCGTGGAAAAGGGTCCTTTACTTTACGTTTTCTTTTACTTCATAAAATTTGTATCTGATTTTACTTCACATGCTTTTTTTTATTTTGCACTTTTTTTGCTAAACGTACTTCCATTTAATATAGTTTTATTTACCGCTTCAAATGTATTCATTACAACAGCATTGATTTGTCATTTCTTTCCGAAAAGTATATGGTAATTTTGCATAACACTCTTTATAAAACCATACTGGGCTGGGAAATGGTGACCGACCGATCTGGGATTAAAATTCGCGTTAACGCAGTCGATCCTTTTGACCTTAGAACCATTTTTAGAGTGATTGCGTGCAAAAATAAATGCGACACAAAAAGTAAGGTAATGAGCGTTCCTCCTGTCGCTATAGGGTCAGAACGACGTCTTGCAGAGAATATTTTACATGAAAGGATGACGATGATCTGCTACATGCGAAAGGATGAAGAAGACCATAAAAGGCGTCTATTTAATTGTTGACGTTTTGCAAAGGTTCAACATGCAAGAGGACGAAGAAGACCATAAAAGCGTGTCTAAATAAGTGTTGACTTTTTGTAAAGGATCTTCTACACGAAAGAGAATAAAGAAGACAGTTGAACACATCCTAATAAGTGTTGACGTTTTGTGAAGGATCTTCGACGTGCAAGAGGATGGAGATGAACATATAGTATATCTATACACGTATCTGGAAAAATATCAATTATGTCCTCTCCACAGAAAAAAAAAAGTTGGCTACACAACACCTGCTATCTTTGGGCATCCTATGAAGTAAGGCCCCAATTTTTTTTCACTCTGATACTTTCATATCAGTGATGGAGAACAACGAAAGCAGTTTTTAAAATATATGAACATTTTTCCTTGCAGAAATAAAACCTCTGTACATTAGAATCATGAAAATGTTAAGCACAATTCAATAACCTCTGTGCCAAAGTAATGTTACTCCACTTGTTCACTTCCTCTTTCACCGCTTCAGGTGTCAAGGGAGATAAAAGGTTTAGCTTCATGCTCTTTTGGCATG